TTGTTTTCAATAATTGCTTTCAACCGCTTTCAAATGGCTGACTGTCTCTGTCAAAATGGGGATCAGAGAAGCCTGTGATTTGGATGTTCCTTTCTTATCTTCTGATCCTGCCTGACTCTCACCTGGAGCAGTGGTGCCAAAGAAGGAACTTGGGATGCACAGGCACACCTGTGGCATGCTTCAGCCTCCTGTCGCTCTGAATCCAGCTCCCACTGAGCCCTGGGGGGGAATGTCATTGCTTCAGAAATTTGTGGGAGCAGGAGCTGAGTCTGGGGTTGGCACGAGAGCAAGTTCACAGCCCAACCGACTGTCGGTTCCATTGGGTCCAGTGCAGACATATGATTTCACAATGAAATGAACCTTTTACACAGTGATGGAGATTTCAGCTAGTGTTCTAAATTAACTGTGCCAAAACAATCATTCAGATAAAATAATAACAACCAACACCCGGGGCCTGATGTGGAAATTGACTTTTGTTATTAAGGGCACGGTCTCTGGAGCTAGACAGACTGCGGTTCGATTTCTGGCTCTGACACTTGTAGCTGAACGTGGGTGAATTACCTCATATTTTTCAGCCTCAATCTCCTTATCTGTGAAATGGAATAATGCCGCCCACTCCATGGGGTGATTCAGAGACTGAATGAGCTGAGATAGCCAAAGCTTTTGGTACAAGGAGTAAAAGCTGGTATTTGACAACCGATCAGGACAATTGAAATCACTCATTTTGAGAAGACTTGTCTCCGAAATGTGCAGGTAAAGCATTAAGTGTCATCTCGAGGGATGTCTGGGTGGCTCGGTTGAGCATCTGATTTGGTTTTGCCTCAGGTCATGATCTCAGGGTTGTGGGATCGAGCCCTGCATTGGGCTCCATGCTTAGCAGGAAGTCTGCCCAAGATTCTATATTCCTCCCCTTCCCACTCACTCTCTCTCTCAAATAAATAAACAAATAAATAAATAAAAGCTTTTTTTTTTAAAAGTGTCATCTTGAGGCCGTAGGGATAAGGATGTGGAGACTATGATCCAAGTGAATGAGACCCTTCATTTACATTCAGTTTTGATTCAATTTGATTCAACTTTAAGACTTCTGTTTATGTGGTCTGGGAAGTGGACACTCTTTCCCCCATGTTCTTTGCACAAGAGATGATGTAGACCCAGCTGTGTGGCCATCCTAGAACCATGAGTAGAAAAACATGTCTGAGAATAAAGCATGGATAGAGAAATACACAGACAAAGGCCAGATCCTGGTGATGTTCCCTGAGCCCATAACCAAGCTGATCCTTAAGATGGTATGACCCTGTCACATTCAGTCCTGAGCTGATAAGTCCCATACTTGACCTAACTTGAGTTTGGGTTGGATTTTCATTTAATTGTAGCAGAGAGTCAAACTGATAGGCTGATCTCTTTAAAAGATCTGATGAATAAAATTTCTCCAAGTCTCTAATATAATAGATATGCCACAGAGGGTAGAGAAAGATCTAGCAACTTTCAAGTGTGAGTATCAGTGGTTGGGCTCAGAGTGATACTGCAATTGCCAAGAGTCCCAACGCACTGGTGAAAAAGAGGGTGCAAAATGAGGAGTGAAAAAGGCAGAGAGAGAGAGAGAGAGACAGACAGACAGACAGACAGAAGGAAATGTCCTTCACAGAAAAAGAATCATGGTGGGTAGAAAAGTCCTGGTATGTGTTTCCGTTCTGTTTTGCAGCCTAAATAGGGTGTACTTGTTCTTAGTCCACAACTGATGGCTTTATATGACTTGAGCCCAGAAGTAGAGTTGTTTGCAAACAAGAGTCTCACAATGGAGACTTAAAAAATATATTTCTTTATTTAAGAGAGAGAGAGAGAGAATGGCGGAGAGGGGCAGAAGGAGAGAGAGAGAAAGTCTTAAGCAGAGACTGTGACCTGAGCGCAGAGCCTGGCATTGGGCTTGATCTCAGTGTGACCTGGGATCACAGTCTGAGCAGAAATTACAAGTCAGCTGCTAAACCAACTGAGCCACCCAGGTGTCCTGAGACTTCTTATCTTCAAACGAAGTAGAAAAGGAGCCCATCTTCTGGGGAGGTGGGAGTACCGGCAGGAAGCATATTGGGCCTTAGTTTCTCTTTAGAGAAATGCCATTTGAAGGAGCTCTAGTGACGTGCTGATGACTCAAAGAACCAATATTTATTGGGCACTGGCCATACCAGGAGCCATGGGAGGCAGAGTTATTATGCTGTTGTCACCCTCTCTAAACCTGAGCTATAGCATCACACAGCAACTAATTTTCCATTTGTTTGTAGTCTACAAGAAAATGAACAAGAGAGCACTGGATGTATTTGAATGTTAAATATTTTATCTTGTTCTAGGATTAAGAAAAAGTTAGGAGACAAAAAGGGCAGAAACACCCACCAATGCACCTATAGCTCTCAGGGCTCCATGTTAATGTGTGTCCAGTCTTGGTTGTTGTCGGAGTTGTAATCTTCTTTGTGTAAAGACTAATGATGTATACGTTGGTGCTGATCCTCCATCCACAGCTTGCAATTGATTAAAGGTGACGTGTTCAAAAGGAGGTTCAAGGCTTTCTTCTACTGTGTTTCATGGTGAAAAAGCTAATGTAAGTAGTGGTCAACACGAAGATGACAAACAAGACAGGTGGTGTGACGAGTGATGGGGGTAGGAGATCAGGGTGGGCTTCTTGAATGAGGGGATGGTTTGTGAATGCTTACTGTGTGCCAAGTACTACTTTGAACACCTTACATGTATTAACTAATGAAATCCGCACAAAATATCTACAAGGATGTTGTAATTATTACCTCCTTCTTACAAATGGGAAAAGTGGGCACCGAGAGGCCCAGTAACTTGCCCAGGTTCACACAGGTGAAATGGTGGAGTTGGGGTTTTCACCTGGGCAGTCCCCTTCTGAAGCCTGAGCTCTTAACCTCTGCTCTAGGCATCCTCAAAGCAGCCATGTGCTAGGAGACCTGGGGGAAGAGAGTTCTAGACATGGCAAGTGGAATACGCCAACAGCCCGGGGAGGGACAATAGGGAGGATGCTGAGGTCAGCAGGTTGCTAACCACTGTGGGCCACTGTTTGGCCATTATTTTATCCTGCCTACTATGGGAAGCCACCTGAAGACTCCATAATAGGGACTGATGTGATCTGATAGGGGCTTTGAGGAGATGGCTTTGGAAGAGGGGTAGAGAATGGGTCGTGGGAGCATGAGTGGAAGGGGACAGACCAGCTAGATGCCATATAGGCTTCCAGGAAAGAGACAGTGGTGCCTTGGATGGAGGAGGTGGCAGTGGCAACCCCTGGGATGGTTGGATTTGGGGTACACCCAACTGGGACTGGCAGCAGAGCCCTCAGGAGCTACTGATGGGTTGGGTCATGGAGGGAGACACCCAAGAACGACTCTGGGATGGTGACAGTCACCAGCTGCCATGGGGAGGTGCAGATTAGGGCTGGGGTGGTGTGGACACAAGTGATCTGATTGGCACTGGTAAGTCTGAGACACCTCCGAAACACAGAGGTAAGACATTAAGCAAGATTCCTTGGAAATTCCTGAAAACATAATGTGTCCCACAAAAGTGTGGCTGAAGAGGGCAGCTGAACAGCCTTGCCTTTCTTTGAGTTTTATTAGGGCCGACCTGCTCCCCTGTGCGTCCTCTCTGATTGTGTGTATATGTAGGTATGTGCGTGTCTGTGTGCATCTGTGTGTGTGTGTGTGTGTATGTGTATGGTGTGAGCCTGTCACACAGAAGTTACACAAAAGGACACTGGAAATCACCAGCCTGGATCTCAAACCTGGCTCTTCCACTTGCTAGTTATACACTTTGAGCAAGTTACCCTGTCTGTGCCTCAGTTATACTACCTGTAAAATGGGGCTGATGATACTAGCAGCACCTGCCCGCACATTTGTTGGGGGGTTCCATGAGTCAGCACATGGAAAGCCCTTGGAACCGTGCTTGGCATACAACAGGCGCTCAACAAATGGCAGCTACTGTCGCAGGTGGGTGTGGACACATTCCCACGACAGGAGGAAATTTCTGATTGCACAGTTGTTAAAAATAGGACTAGTTTATCGGGTGAATGGTCCAGTACTTTCTTCTTTGAGACACCGTCGTTATAGGATGGATATAAGGAAAGGAGCTTAACAGAAAGCCCATCCTTGGTCTCTGGCTGGGAAGCCTCATGAAAACAGACCGGAACCCAGCCACGACAGACTCCCATTTCATTATCTACCACGATTTTTCCTGGACTGGATGCCTCGAGTGCTGGGCTTCGCCTTCAGCATGTTTGAATCTGCAGCCCCAGCCCAGGAAAACATCTTTCCCGTCACGTTACTTTCAGGGTAACTGCTCAGTTATCATCTGGGGTCTCTTGGCTATTTTTGTTTCTGACATTTGAACCCTCTTCTACTCAGGGTCCACTCTGGAGGATGGCAGTACTTCTAATAATCCGAAGTGTCCACCACTTTTCACGCTGTCTTTTCCATTATCCCCCATCGGCCGTAGCCACCGTGCTTTTAAGTAGCGTCCAAGTGTCCTTCCTGTCTTGGGGTGGGTTTCTCATCCCCTGGTGCAGAAGGAAGGTGGAATGGGTCTGCTGCCCTTCTCATGCCATCCGTGACCACATAAAAGTGGTCAGAAATCACTCAGAACTTCTTTTGTCTCCTTAAGCAAAGTTTCGGTAATTTGGATAAAAGGGAAGAAATGGTTTCTTATTGCCTTGAGCTCTAAAATGGGAAAGAGCGAGGTCATATAGGCCACAGTGACTACCATGTGAATTTTCAATATGCAGAGTGGTCTCATTTTCTCTGGCACTCGGAGGCCGAAGCACTTCTTGGGCAGGAGTCGAGGCAAAAGTAGTTCCTCAAAAGACTCAACCTCCCACCTCCCCTCCTCATCACCCCGCTTGCTTTGTCTGCTTGAATCGCAGATTTTTTTTTCAATGTGATTTCCTCTGAGGCTCTTTGAGATGATCTGCTTTATGTCTCAAATCCTCTTTCTAATTCCTTGCTCACCGGTGTTGGGGGCAAGCTTGTCTGACTGTCGGGGAATGTCATACCTGTGCCACAGGGTACACAGCCGCATGCACACTCCCCGGTGCTACACTCCTGTCCTGCCGACCAAGCCGAGCGCTTTACAGGTGGTGTCCTGAGACGTGAGGACGCCGGGCTCAGAGAAGTCAGGGACCTGGCCCAAGGTTGCCCTGGAGCCTGACCCTAGTCCAGACCTGTCTTCCAGACCTATCTTCAGGGATGGAGTGCTCAGGGCCATTGGTCGTCTGCCTTATTCTTTTATTATTTTTTTTTAAAGTTTGATTGATTGATTGATTGATTTAACACACAGAGAGAGAGAGCGCGAGAGAGAGCGCACAAGCAGGGGGAGCAGCAGAGGCAGAGAGAGAGAAGCAGACTCCCTACTGAATAGAGAGCCCCATGGGGGACTCGATCCCAGGACCCCGGGATCATGACCTGAGCTGAAGGCAGATGCTTAACCGACTGAGCCACCCAGGCACCCCGAAAGTTATTTATCATTGTGGCAAAGCATACATAATGTGGCATTTGCCATCCCACCCATTTCTAATTGTTCAGTTTGGTGGCATTAGGTACGTTTCCACTGTAATGGACCCAGCACCCCCCCCCCCCCGCCACATCTCTGGTTCATTCTGTTTCGACATGTTTTCTCACAGTGCAGAAAATAGGAAAGCAAAGCTGACTATCAAGCCTCCAGATTTGGCAGGGATTGTGCTTACAGGCTTTGCTTCTCTGATGGGGCCAAGAAAGGTCTGGGGCAACATGCCTGGCCCGTGTCATTATTCACCTGTGAAACCTGCTTTGAAGATCCAGGTGCATGAGCACATCCCTGAGGCAGCCTCCGATTTTGCACATAGAAGCCACCTTCTGGCACTTGAAGGATAATGCAACCACCTAGCATTTAAAAAGTCTTTAAAAAATCCCTCACGCTTGCCTTGGTAGGGGAATTTGGGCATTTTGTTAAGTCTTGGATAAAATGGCGAATCTGCGGGTTTTATGTCTGTACCTGTCCTATACTTATAACTACACATCTATACTACACCTGGATGTCCATACCTATATATCTCTACCTGTGCGTCTATCTCCATCCCTCCCGTACATGACGACACTGACTTACAGCACGGATCCATTCACTTAAGACATTCAAGATAAAAAAAAAAAAAAAGGACATTCAAGATATACAGAAGACATTTTACTAGAACTTGTTTAGGCTGGATGGTACTTTGTTATGGATACAAGTTTGCAATTAGGGTGAAAATTAGGACACAAAGAATCCGTTGGTTTAGGAATCAGGAGATGAAAGAGGAAAGTCCACACTAACTTAATTCATCTCACCCTGAGGGCAGGACAGGCCCACTTGGCTCCCGACATTATAGGAAAAGCCCATCTGTCACCCCTCAGGGGGATGTGCTGGGCTGGGCAGTGCTGAAGATGGGAGCCAGGTGGGAGTGGGAGCACCACAGGCTCCCATGGGAACTCTCTGCTCTTCCTGGGGCATCCGTGGTGGTCCCGCGGTGGTCCTGGCTGTTCCTAGGGGGACCGGCTGACAACTCCCTCCGCACCTGACCTTGGGGGCTCTATTCGTCTGCAAGGGCTGCTGTAACAAAATACAGACTGGGTGATTTAAGTAATCAAAACTTTCATCCTCACCGTCCTGGAGGCTGAATTTCAAGATTGAGTTGGCAGGTTTGGTTTCTTCAGAGGCCTCCCTTGCCTTGCAGATGGCTGGCTTCTTGTGTCCTCACGTGGTCTTCCCTGTGTGTGTCTGCGTCCTGGTCTCATCTCTTTATAAGGACACCAGGCATGTGGAATCAGGGCCCACCCTGAAGACCTCATTGTGACTTGGTCACCTCTGTAAGAAGAACCCTGTCTCTAAATATGGTCACATTCTGAGGGATGGGGGTGAGGCACACAATTCAGCCCAGAACAGGGGCTCAATCCAGCATTCTGGGACACGAAGCATGCAGTAGGCGTAGCTTCCAGGCCTGGAGTTTGGACCTGTCCGCATCATTCTCAGGAAGCACCTGCTTTCCCTGGACCTCACAGGGACTGCGTCCACCTGGAGACTCTCCTCCTTGCAAACCCTCAAGTTTAGGCTGCGTGTGACCTTCAGCATGGCTGTGACTCTTGCTGTCACCATGAACTCACCTACAAGGGACTGTCCATCAGATCAAAGCTGAGCCCCCAGCTGTGTACTCAAAGCCTCACCTTTCTTTATTCCTCGGTGTCATGACACCTTTGCATGGATTCTCCCAAACACCACCCGTCCCCTTCAGTCTCTACCCCAGCCTCCTTATCCTTTGGTCCTTCCCTCAAAGCATATCTTAAACCCAAGATGAAACCATACACTCAGTTTTGCAACCTACACCAATCAGTTGACAGCATGAATTTTGAGTCTTTCTCTATAAATATGCTCTAAGTCAAGGTGGTCCCTGGCTCTGTAGTGTTTCATCTGATGAAAGGCCATGCTTCACCCCCATCATGCTCTTCCCCTCTGCTATCAGCTTCCTCTCTGTCGGCCTGGGATGGTGGCCTCACCCCCACAGCAGTATCCCTGCATAGTGTATCGTGGTCCACTTTGTCTATAATTTTCTAGATTTCTAGTCCTTTCCAGTTCATTTTCTGGTTTTCAAACTAGATTTCTCGTCCCACCTTCTGATGCCTTTATCTCTGGGAATACCTGGAGGGATGCTGTGTGGGCTGCAGGCTAATGAAAGAGAGGACGGAATCCAGGGGCTCTGGGTATGTGTGTGGGGGTGGGGAAGGAGATGGTAGGTGTGCTGGAATTTTAGTCCTAGGATCCACTTTAAGAGTAATTTTGAGATTTCTCTGATTCTGTCCCCATTCCCTGCTAGATCTCTTCTCACACGGGTCCTTTTCACACATAGCACCTGTCATTCCCAATTTTCCACAGCCCCGCCTCTTCACCATTGCCTTGCACTTGGTCACTCCATTCACTTCCATGACCTTCCTGAGCCTTGGACTATTTGGGTTTGTGGTCCTATCTTAACTTTTTTGTCTTTCTTTGTCAAAGGGATTTTTCTCCCTTTGAACAGAATATGCTCTCCATAGGTGCGACCGCTCTCACGAATTGCATCTTGTCTCTCCTTTCAGATCTTCTTCAGATCCTTCTGTCTTTAAGAAATTGCCCCTTGAAATTCCTTATGTTTAACCTCTAACCCTTTTGCATTTGTTTGTACTGTGTAGTCAAATTTTATGTGTTATTATTTTTTTAAAAAGATTTTATTTATTTGAGAGAGAAAATGAGCATGAGCAGGGGGAGGAGCAGAGGGAGAGGGAGAAGCAGACTCCCCTGTGGAGCACAGAGCCCCACACGGTGCTGGATCCCAGGACCCTGACATCATGACCTGAGCTGAAGTCAGACGCTTAACCCACTGAGCCACCCACGTGTCCCTATATAATCAATTTTTAAATGGCACTATCCTCTTTCTTCTTGCCGATAGCATACACTTCATATATAAATACATAATAGAAAGAGAAGGCAGGGCGCCTGGCTGGCTCAGTTGGGAGAGAGTGTCACTCTCGATCTCAGGGTTGTGAGTTTGAGCTCCACGTTGGGTATAGAGATTACCTAAAAATAAAATCTTAAAAAAAAAAAAAAGAACAGCCAACACTCCAGGAGCATTGATTATGACAAAACTATTGAAATGATATTTGTGCTACATCATTTAAAGAAAATGAATGAAGGTTGCCTCCTGGTGATTAGTACTTCGTCTCTGCTAGTGGAGTATTCATAAAGACAAAGTGCAAGGAAATCATGGAAATTACTATAAATTAGGCTTCCTGCCACCCCTGCCGACCGCTGCCCAGCTAGCCCAGTGCTGAATACACGTCGGTGTAGAGAAAGCTACCAGAATCCGAAGAAAAAAAATGTTTATTAAATGTCCTCTGTTTATGATTTTTTCCTGATCAATTAAAAGCTTTTAATCTATTAATTAATCTTGTCATTACCTTCCATAGTGCGCATTTCCTATTTCACTTGTGGTTTTTAAGATGTGCCGCAAATTGTAGAAATTAAATTTTAGTATGACTTAATACTAGAGGATTGGCTGGGCAAGAGGAGGAAGTTTGTGTTTACCTTATCAGCGTTTAAAATACCACGTTCCATAGTTAGGCATTGGTCGCTCAGCTTAGATGCCTAAGTTGCTACCCTAAGCCCGGGGTTTTAAGAGTCTTCGGCCTACATTTTTTTGTTCCTCCTCGGGGGAGGGGGAGGAGGAGGAGGGCGGGGCTGAGGCAGCTCCCGGTATAAAAGCCTTCTTCCTTGGCAAGAAGGGAAGGCCGGCAGGATCTTTCCAGGGAAAGCAAATCCTGCCTCACAAACCTCAACCGGTATGTTATCGACTGTTGCTTTTCGCGTCTCTATAAACGTTGCTGTTGTTGTAACTTGTAGAATAGAGGGTGAATAGAGTGTGTTTGGCAAGGACATCATTTAGCTTTTCTAGGAAGATTTGAAACCGAGACAAAAGGTGAAATTTCTCAAGGAGCCGTGGGGTTAAGCAAAATACTAGTTCACAGATCTTTAGGGTACTGTTTCGGATTTATTTAGAAGTGGAGCCTGTGCTAGGTTTTTGAATGATTTAAAATACGATTACAGCTTTTATTTTCTGATTGACGGAGTCAGAGATGTCCTCAAATGAGCCTTATTAAAAGATTCACTGGCATCTTAACTCTGCAACTATCTAAAAGCGATCCTATGTTCTCGGACCTATCGAGGACATCACAAAACAGGTTTTTTTTTTTTTTTTAAATCAAGCCTACGATGGAACCTAAATTAGCATCAAGAAAGATGTATTCAGACAGTCAAAAGTCTTTGATAAAGAAGCAAAGCATATTTGACTTACTTTTACTTTTAGCTTCTGAAACACGCTCACTGCTTGTATTCTTTAGAAGCAAAAGGGAACTACTGGGGGTTGGATAATTAGAGGTTTTATTTCTCTTTAATTTTGAGGCCGCGATTGCCAATGCTGACTTCTTCAGAGTTAAGATTCTTAAGCAGAATACAAATACACTTATGGTTGGGGTTTCAGCTCCTCAGCTGTTTCGAGAGTGTGAGGAGCTTTCCTTCAAGGTTGTGACTTTTGATTTGTAATTCTTTAAAATTTGGAACAAAGTTGGTGTCGCCCATTATTCATCTTGTCTTGCCTAAGAATTGATGTTATTCTTGGTACCTGTGAAGACAACAGGATCCAGGCACTTAGGGACTCCCTGTCTTTCCTC